AACAAAGCAGTCCACTTGGTGGCACTACATCCACAAACATTCAGTCCCTCCACCACCAATGCTCAGTAGCAACAGTACTGAAGGAGGCTATATGGCCCATTGTATCCGTACTGGTTCCCAAAAGAGCTACCCAGCTAGTCTCATTCTCCAGCCCTATCCCTGCAGCCCCTTAAATTCATCATTCTCACATATGTATCAACTCTTTTGAAACCTCCTATGGAATCTGCCCCAACCACTCTCCTAAGCAGCACATTACAAATCCTAATAACTGATTAAAGATTCTCATTACACTTCGAGCTCTCTTGCTGACAGTCTTCTAGTAAATCTCCTCTCACCAAGGATTCTTAGACACTGCCTTCCAAACCCGTGATCACTACCATCCAGGAGATAAAAGAATAGTTCCCACAATCCCAGAAGATTGCTCTCGTTACAGTGCCTCTATATTTTCTCCATATGACAGAATTGCACACAGCACTCTTAGCATTTAATCTAAGCAGTGAAAGTTGAAACTTGCAGGTTTTCGATTATGACCTAGTGAATACAAGAGGTTAAATCTTTCTTTTGATCAAGATACTAACTCTGCACCACTAGCCATCACGTATTCCTGCTGTTGGAAGGGATACAACAAATCAATGAAATTAAGAAGAAGGATGCTCTAAGCAACTGGATTCTATGAACAGAATGGTAAATGAGCCAATACGCACTGGCGTTCAATTCCATGGTGACTAACAAATAACTGGGATAGCAGTTGCCCTGCACTAAATACTGTGTTAAAAGGTGGAATAGAATTAGGAGATGGGGAACTGGATTAATGAGCAAAAAATACAAGATGGAGAATTAAGATAAGACACGGTGTGGAACTGGAGGAACACAGCAGGCCAGTCAGCATCAGAGGAGCAGGAAAGCTGACGTTTCGAGTTGGGACCCTGCTTCAGAAAAAAAAAATAAACCCAACTATTTAAATACTGAACTTGGGCCAAGAAAATCTACACGACTCGAGTCACACATCATGTGGTTGACAATGTGGTCGCTTTCTGAAGTGACCTAACAAGTGGCGTTTTTGACAAGGGGAACTCTGAATGGACAAGCCTTTGCAAGTAATACCACAACCTGCAAATGCTTTTAAGAAAGAGTGCAATAAAAATGGCTTAACATTGCCTCAAGTTTTAAAAGCATACAGTGTTAGCTCTTGAATGTTTATGGAACATTCTGTAGTTCATGTAATGTAAACTACTGGAAAATTTACATTTTTTGACAAAAAAAGTTGAATCAAGTGAATGGTGCAGCAACTTCAGTATCTGAGTTGGTTATCCCAAGCCATATCAGAAGAACAGATCTCAAACAGATTCAAGGAACGCAATTAGGACCACATCACCTTACAAGATAAGCAATGTTCAATCATCAAGATAAAATAAATACAAACAAGAAACCAAGCGTGAACATGTACTTCAGTTAATCAATAATATACATATAATAAAAGGTTATTTGAACACACAGCCAAGTACAATTCTGATACAGAAGACTGAGAATAACGTTAGGCAATTTATGTCTCCACCTCACACCAAGATTCTAAAATATCAAAACACAACACCAATGTGGTCTCAGGGCCAGAGTTTTAGAGCAACTCAGACATTTTCAAGTTTCTGCCACATTCCAAAATTCTGTGCTGTTCTTTTCCACAGCTTTTCATATTCCTCTGCTTCAAATATTTTGCAAAATGTGGTCTGCTGTTAGAAACCATGAACATGTGACAGTATGAAGGAAGCTTAAACCATAATAGGTTTTTGAACAGATCAATGAGAGATCATAGGTAAAATTTAACAGAATTACAGAGAGAGGAGCGGGAAACGCTCAAATACTGGAGTCTGGAATACTCAATGTTAATGGAATCTGATTTTATAAGCAATTTTAATAAGGAGTCAGACAACTGGTTGAGAATGAGGAAATTAAATTTATATACAAAAAGGGTTGTGGGGTCTAGGCAGAACTGCACTTTCAAATAGGAACAATGTACAAAATATGCTGTATGGTGCACTAAATTTCTGATTTTATGAATGAGATGCAGGAGTTACAGAACCCAGCAACATTTTCAACATAAAATTTAACTTAGAAAAGTAGAATGAACTTCATGTTTATTATTTATTCATGCCAGGCCAGCATTTTGATCACCTCCAACTGAATGTGCATTGGTCTTGGTCTGCTACCTTCCTGAACTAATTTAAGTACATCCAGTAAGGTTACAGAGGGAGCTCAAAAACCTGGCAATGAAGGAACATTGATATAGTTCTATCAGGATACTGCATGGCTTGGTAGCAAACTTACAGCTGATGGCTGCCCTTGTCTGGATGGTAGAGCTTGTTCACTTTGAAAAACAATATTTAGTGACTTTGCCTCTGCAGCCTTCTTTGGTAAAGAATTCCACAAGCTCACAACATCAAATGATGAAATCTCTTCTCCATCTTGGTCCAAAAATGGCCTACCATGGGTTCTGAGATGATGATCCCTTATTCTGGATTTTGTGGCCTGTGGATACATGATCCTCGCATCTAGTCTGTTTAGTCCTGTTCAAATTTTATATATTTCAATCCGATTCCCTCACAATCTTCAAAACTCCAGCAAGTACAGGCCCAGTTGATCCAATCTCTGCTCAAAAGACAAGCCTGCTATGGAGGAATCAGTCCTGTAAACCTTTGCTGCACTCCTCCTGTGGTGATAGATCTTAGAGTTGGAGACCAAAACTATACACAACACTTCAATTATGGTTGCATTGTGGCCCTGTACAGATGAGGTCAGTTAGCTCAGTTGCCTGGATGGCTGGTTTGCGATGCAGCATTACACCAACAGCACAAGCTCAATTTCCTGTACTGGCTGAGGTTACCATGAAAGTTTTTCCTTCTTAATACCTCACCCCTTGCCGAGGTATGCTGATCGCAAGGTTAAATCATCACTGATTGTGTCTCTCTCTAATGAGAGAGCAGCCCTATATGATCTCCTGGGACAGTGGCAACTTTTTTACTGCAGCGAAGTACTTTTACTATTGTACTGAAACCATTTTGTAATGAAAGCCAGCATATCATTGTCTTCCTATCTAGATGGTGCACCTACGTGCTTGATTTCAATGACTAGTGTACACAGACAACTAGGGTCCCATTATACATCAGCATTTCCTAACTTACACAACATATTACAGGGGGCCCTCTTGTGGTGTCTTGGTAGTGTCCCTACCCCTAGGCCAGGAAGCCCAGGTTCAGGTCCTTCCTACTCCAGACATGTGCAATAACATCTCTGAACAGGTTGATTAGGGAAAAAAAAATGTAGTAGCTTTTACAGTCTGCTTTTCTGTTCCTTGCAAATCCCTCTCTTACTATTTTTCTTCTCTCAATCAACATCTGGGTCCTTTTTTGTTGAATTCTAAACTGTTGCCCACGTTTCCTACTTTTACTAGCAAATTAAATAATTCATCTTTGGATCTAATATTAGCCTTAATTTCATTTGTTAACCACAATTGGGCCACTTTTGCTGTGGTACTCTCTCACCTGAGAAGAATGTATAATGGCTGCATACCATACATTTCTTCCTTAAATATTAACCATTGCCTGTCTACTGTCATGCCTTTTAATTAAATCACCTCATCTTTTGCTTGGAAATCATGCAGCCTCGAGGACTCAACGTTAAATTCAATAACTTTCATCACTGATCACGGTCAGAAATCACACAACATCAGGTTATAGTTCAATAGGTTTATTTGAAAACACAAGCTTTTGGAGCCTGATTCCTCCTTCAGGTAGAGAGACAGGAAGTATCAGACACAGAATTTACAAATAAAAGATCAAAGGGTCACAACACTGACAAGGATGTATTAAACAAACCTAAGGTGCTGTTAAATCTTTAATCAGTTAGAAGGTTTTAATTGATTAATATGTATGTGTAAATCCCCGAATTCCTTTCAAGTCACTGTCCTGAGAGAACTAAAGATTTTATCAGTGTAAACAAGAGGTGACATTTTAGGTCAGACAATGGATGCTAGGTGTGAGGCCTTGTTTAGAAATTGTTTGTGGTTTAAGTTGGAGTCAGACTGGTTTTATTTCTAAAGTAGGAATTTATAAAACCCTACACTGACTGTCTATAAACTGTGTGCTTTTTGAACAAAATAGAATGGATCTCTCTCTCTAACACCTGGAGGAGGAGTCAGGCTCCAAAAGTTTGTGTTTTCAAAAAACCTGTTGGACTATAACCTGGTGTTGTGTGATTTCTGACCTTGTCCATCCCAGTCAAACAACGGCTCCTCCACATCATGGTCACTGATTACAACCTTGCAAGTTTATTTTACCCGCACCCGGAGCCTGTAATGACATGGGCTGCTTTGAGCACAGCCAACCCATTCTCCCCTGTTCTTAGAGTCACCGGACTCAAAATGTTAACTCTGCTTTCTCCCCACAGATGCTGTCAGATCAGATTAGTTTCTCCAGCAATTTCTGTTTTGCCTTTTAATGAGGTTATCCAGTCTATCATAGTCAATTCACCCCCATACCTTTATGGTCTTTTTGTTTAGATTTAGAATCCTAGCTTTGACTTCAATCTCTTCACTTCCAATGAAGAATTCTATCATGTTATGACCTATTTTCTTATAGGACTTCATACAACATTATTAATTAACCCACTTAACACATTGCACAAAAACAAATCTAGGATAACTTGCTCTCAAGTTGGTTCCTCAATATACTGGTCTGAAATACCACCTTGCACACACTCCAGCGATAACAGCGTGGTGGATGCATTCCTCATGTGGTTTTCCCAGTCTGTACGTAGATTAAAGTCATCAATGATTATTGTAGCACCTTGACGTTACTAACTTCCTGTTGAACACAATCCCCTAGCTCACTATGACTGTTTCGAAGCTCCCACAAATGTCTTGTCCGCATGGCCTCTTGGCTCTGGTCTGTATCATGAACATTACCTCTAGAAGAGGTATTAATTCAAATAATTGGTCGCATACTTACCCTGAAACTGGTTAACTTGCTCAACACGGTACTGGTTTTGCTGCTGGTCTTGATATTGAGGCGGAGGCCTTGTGAGGTGCCTCTGCAACTGTTGTTCCTGCTGTTTTCTTTGCTTCTCCTGAAAAATGAAAAGGTGAAACTCATTAGGGTTGGACTGATCAATCCAAACTACAGATTTTATCAGATGTGGAGCTTTTCCTGTGAATTTAATCGCTGTACCATAAAGTGCGTACAGGACTCGGACAGCACACGATAAAGACTTGCGTTTGTCAGTTTCAGCAGAGCAGTACACAGATTTAAAACCAATCCACTGCGCAATACCAACTATAACCAACAGACAAAATAAAACTAATCTCTGCAAAGACAGCTTGGTGCTTTTAAAAGAGGATATCTGTAGAAAAGAACACTTCAAACATACGAATGTGTGCTGTAAAGTTGTAAAACCAGCATGTTGACATGTGGCGGAAGCTGTAATGATGCACAGAAAGTAATGAAGGGAGTTTTATATGTTGCACAAGATGTCAGTATCACTGGATAAATCAGCATTTGTTGCTCATCCCTAACTGTCCTGGAGAAGATTGTGGTGAGCTACGTCTTGAATTGCTGCAGTCAGTGGGGTTCAGAGACACCAAAAATTTTTTTAGGAAGGGAAGTTCCAGGATTTTGAGCTAATGACAGTGAAAGAGTGGCAATAAAGTTCCAAGTCAGGATTCTGTGGGGTTTGGAGGGGAATGTGCAATTAGTGGTGCTCCCATGCATCTGTAGCTTTATCCTTCCAGGTGTAGAGATTGCAGGTTTGGAAAACGCTGAAGGTTGGAAGTGGTGGATGGGGTGCAAACCAAGCAAGCTGCTTTGTCCTTAATTCTACCGAGTTTGCTGAGTATTTTCAGAGCTGCACTCATCCAGGTAAGTGGGGAGCATTTTATCACACTCATAACTTGTGTCTTGTAGGGACTAGACAGCATTGGGACAGAATGGTAAACTACACGATGTTGATTGAGGAATGGAGCAACGGTAATGTCATTCAATGATAAGGACAATAGTTAGATTCTCTCTGGCTGGAGATTTACAGGCAAATGGAAAGTAACAGCATCACACATCAGCCCCAGCCTGGAAATTGCCTAGGTCTTGCTGAATATGGACACAGGGAGCTTCAGTATCCGAGTCATCTGAATTGCGCTGAGCATTGTACAATAATCAACAAATATCCCTACTTCTGTCCCAATGATTATAGAGAAGGTCATTGAAGCAGCTGAAGGTTGAACCTGGAACACTATCCTGAGGAACTCCCGCAATGATGCCCAAAGGCTGAGGTGACTGACCTCCAATGTCCTGCCTAGTACAAAGGACTCCAAGCAGAAGAGCTTTTCCCCAACTCCACCCGAAGATGTAATGAGGTCAGGTGGCCCTGATGGAGTCCAGATTGAGTATGTGATGATTTCAGTTGCTAACACAATAGGAATCCAGAAGCTACTAATTAAACTCAGCAACCCTACTCCACCCTTTTCCCTGCTTCTCCATCAAAAACACAGGCAAACTGATAATAAAATTGCATTTTAAATAAAATGCTATGTTCTAAAATAACATGGGATCTTTGCAATTAACAAAGGAAGGGTACAAAAACAAAGAAAATATGGTAAGTCTTCATTAAAATGATCAAACCCAGCTTTTCAGCTGGAATGAGAGGTCTGAATCTGTGCATCACATGTTGAAAGAATTTCAGGACTTTGGAGAACCTGTGAAGATTGACACAAATAGTACCTAAATAAGGGGCTTTGATGCTCTAGGTGTTGGCCTAGTAGTATTATGACTAAACTATTAATCTAGAAACTCTGCAACTGTTCTACTGTTGATAGTGGAATTTGAACTCAATTTTAAAAATCTGGAAGAATCTACTGATGACCATGAAACTATTATCGATTACCACAAAATCCCATCTGGTTCACTAATGTCCTTCAATGAAGGAAATCTACCATCCTCACCGCACCACATGCGACTCCAGAGCCATTACAAAGTGGTTGATTCTCAACTGCCCTCTGAAACGGACTAGCAAGCCACTCCGTTGTGTCAACTGTTATGAATTCTCAACAAAATGAAACAAAACTTGGCATTGACCTAGGCACCAGAAACAAAGGCAAAAACAGCTCTGTGGACCCTGCCATTGCCAAGTTATGAATCTATGAGTATGGCACGTCCCATAAACCACCATCACCATCCCTGAATATGTTTTGTCTCATGGCAAGACAACCAGAAGTAGTGGCACAATGGCTTACAGTCAGGAGGAGAATTTCAATGTCCACCACCAAGCATGGCTTGGCAGCAGCACTACTGATTGAGCTGGTCGGGTCCTAAATGACACAGCTACTAGACTGGGTCTGCAGCAGGTGGTGAGGGAACCAACAAGGAAAAACATACCTGACCAATTGCTGAGGATGAGGTCAACTGCAGATGCATCTGTTCACGACAGTATTGCTAACAGTCATTACTGCACAGTGCTTATGGACATGAAATCCTGCCTTTATATTGAGATTATGCTCCATTGTGCTGTGCGGCACTATTACCACACTAAATGGGACAGACTTCCAATCGATTTAGTAACTCAAGACAGGCATCCATGAGGCAGTGTGGGCCACCAACAACAGTAGAATCGTACTCTAGTACAATCTGCAACCTCATGGCCTGGCATATCCCCCACTCAACTATCAAGCCAGGGGATCAATTTTGTTCAATGTAAAGTGCAGGATGGCATGCCAGGAGCACCACCAGGCATACCTAAAAATGAGGTATCAACTTGGGAAGCTACCTAAGAGAACAACTTGAGAGCCAAACAGAATAGCAGCAATTGATAGACAGAGCTAAGCAATCCCACATCCAACAGATCAGATCTGAGCTCTACAGTCCTGCCAAATCCAGTTGTGAATGGTGGAGGACAATTAATCAACTCAGATGTGGTGGCTCTAAAAATATCCCCAGCCTTACTGGTGGGAGAGCTTAGCATATCAGTGCAAAAGACAAGGCAGAAACATTTGCAGCAATCTTCAGCCAGAGGTGCCAAGTGGATGATCCATCTGTCTCCTCCAGTGGTCCCCTGCGTCACAGAAATGGGTCTTCAACCAATTTGATGCAATCCATGTGATATCAAGAAACAAATGGAGCAGTGGATGCTGCAAAGGTTATGGGCCCCAACAATATTCAAGCAAGAACTGCACTCCACAACATTCTCCAACCCATTCCAGCACAGATAGAACACCGGCATCCATCCAACAATGTGGAAAATTGCCGAGAAATATCCTGTACCAAAAACCAGGACAAATACAACCCAACCAATTACTGCCCCATCAATCTACTCTCGAGCATCAGCTAAATTATGGAAGGTGTCATTAAGTGTTGTTAAGCAGCACCTGCTCAGCAACAACCTGTTCACTCATACAGAGTTTTGGTTCTGTCAAAGCCACTCAGCTCCTGGCCTCATCATACACTGCATTCAAACACAGACAGAAGTGCTGAATTCCAGGTGAGGTGAGAGTGATGGTTCTTGACCTCAAACTTGCATTCGACCAAGTGTGGCATCAAGGAACCTGAGCAAAAGTGGAATCAGTGGATATCTGGAGGCAAACGCTCTGGCGATTGGAGGACACACAGGAATTTGGTTGTGGTTGTTGGAGCTCAGTCATTTTAGCTCGAGTTCCTCTAGGCCCAACTATCTTCAGTTGCTTCAATCACTTTCCCTCCATGAGGTCAGACGTGGGCATGTTCACCGACAACAACAACACAATATTCAACATCATTTCGACTCCTCAGAGACTAAAGCAGTCAATGTTCAAATACAACAAGATCTGGACAATATCCAGGCTTGGGCTGACAAGTGGCAAATAACATTTATGACACAAAATGCCAGACAATTACTGTATCTAATAAGGCACAATGTAACCGTCACCCTTGATATTCAATGGAGTCACCACCAGTGAATCACTCGCCAATCAACATCCTGGGGATTACCACTGACCAGAAATCAACTGGACTTGCCATATCAATAGAGTGGGTGGAACAGCAGGAGAGAAGTTAGGAAAACTTCAGCAAACAACTCATCTCCTGACTCCCTTAAATCTCACAGGATCCTAGAATCCCTACAGTACAGAGAGAAGCCAGTCCGTAAAGTCTGCACCAACCCTCCAAAGAACATCGAAGACAGACCAGCCCCCTACCCTATCCCTGTAACCCTGCATTTACATTTGTTAAGTCACCTAACCCGGACATTACAGAGCAATTTAGCATGGCCAGTCCACCTAAACCCTTTGGAATGTGGGAGGAAACTAAAGCACCCGGAGAAATCTCCACACAGGCACAGGGAGAACATGCAAACTCCATACAGTCACCTAAGCATGGAATTGAGCCCAGGTCCCTGCATCGAGGCAACAGTGTTAATCACGGAGCCATCACGTCACCCCAATCTAGCCACCATTTTTAAGGTGCAAGTCAGGAGTGTGATAGAATACTCTCCACTTGTCTCGATGAGTGCAGCTCCAATAACACAAGTCGTCTGACACTATCCAGGATGAAACTGCCCACTTGATTGGCACATCTACAAGCATTCGCTCACTCCACCGATTCTTAGCAGCAATGTGTGCTGTCTACAAAATGCACTGAAGAAATTCAAAGATCTTTAGATAGTGTCTTCCAAGTTCATATCCACTTTCATCAAGGAAGACAAGGGCAGCACCACAGAAACACTGTCACTTGCAAGTTCCCCTCCAAGTCATTCATCATCCTGTCTTGGAAATACACTGCCATCTTTTACTGGGTCAAAATCCTGGAATTCCCTCCTTAAGGGCATTGTGGGTCTACCTACGTTACATGGACTGCAGTAGTTCAAGAAAGCAGCTCACCACCACCTTCTTACAAGCAACTAGTGACAGGCAATAAATGCTGGCCAGCCAGAACTGCCCACATCCCACAAGTGAATAAAAAAATGCTGGAATTGTTTTCTTTCAGGTAGAGGTTAAAAGAAAAAGTTACAGACATGTCAAAATCATAAAGCGCTTTGATGCAATAACGGGGAGAAAGGTAATTCAATGGCAGGAAGGATGGCAACTTGGACCACAGATTTAAGACTAGTGACAAAGAAAAATAACTTTTTCCTTCTTTTGGAAAGGATCATGCTCATTGTGATCTGGAACACATTGCCTGGAAGGACACATTAAGTTTTCAATAGCAACGTTCAAAAGGGAATTAGATACATATTTGAAAAGGAACAATGTTCTGGGCTATGGGATAAGAACAGAAGAACGGACAATCCTAAAGTGAACACTTCAGTGCTTTGCAATTCTATAGTATTTCATATTAATACTTACAACCAGTTCATGAAAAGACAAAGCGCTTTAGGAAGTGGAGGATCAGACTAACTACTAACGAGTGTCTGATTAAAAACATGATAATGAAGACAAAGGACAAGGTGACATGAGTGTCGTATGACAGATGTTCATTCTAGATATTTGGGATTACAAAAATGATGGAGAGTTAAACACATGGACCATTTAAGACGATGATAATGTAGGCACGTACTCAATGAAGAAGCAAAGAAAAGATGGGCTGCTTACTTCAAGGAGCTACAAAACAGCACCAAAGCAGCAAATCAGGAGAACAGAAGGGGGGCCCAATTAACACCTGGTGACTGACACTGTAAAAGTGGAAATGAGAGTAGTCCTGAACCAAACAAGAAACAGAAAGACTTCAGGATCAGAAAAAATTCAGGTGCAGCCCAGGAAGGGATGTGGTACATGGGCATTGAAGTCTGCGTTATCTGTTCAAAGTAATCAGGCCAAGGAAAGTTTGCCAAATGGAGGAAGAGAAAATGTTCTCATACTAATTAGAACACAAAGGAAAGGTTCAAGAATGAAAAAACTACCACCACACCTTCAAAGTGTGGGAGTGTGTGTGAGCAACTGCCACCTAAGAATGATAGTGGTCAGTTTTGGGCAATTTGGCTTCATGGCATTTTTACCTGGTCATTATGAAAAGGAACAGCAAAGGAAGGATATTTACAGTCAATCTGAAATATTTCTTGCTAAGATCTGCTAAAATATCCAATTTGTGACCACATATCAGGTCAACTAAAACTGCATCCAATTTTCATTCTTCAGAGCTCAGGTAACATGCACCAAGATTAAAGTTTATTTTCAATAGCATTTAATTGAAGCGAGCAGACGACAACAGATACTTTTGCGATGTGTATACCGATACATTTTCCATATTTCAGGCAAGTCCAATTTCTAAACTCTGCCATTAATGCAACAGCTACCAAACTTAATCAATGTCTGATATGCTCATGTGACATTGATGCTTACAACCGGAAATGGCCCAATATTCAGACTTGTAGATGAATGCCCAAATTAATGGCACATTCATCAGATGATCACTATATCTCAGTTCTCGCTTTGTCCTTATCACATTCATACCAAAAAGTGTTGCATTTTAAAATAAAGTGTTACTGCACTGAAAGAATTTAAGCTATAATGTTACATTCATATAATTTTCACGTTGAACTCTACCATGGTTCAGATTATGACCTCACGCTTTCTGTCCCCAGATAATCTAGGCTGTGCATGCTTGTCAAGTAATAATCAGCTGGAATTCCTGAAATTTGATTGAGGTATGTTTGGTATGTCTTTTTGTCTTGTGGTTACCGAAATCTAAAAATGAGATAATTGGGATTCCACTATAAGTTTAAGTTTATGCAGCAATTAATTATGTACCCATTTCAACATCAGAACTACTCCCATCAAAACCTATTACGACACTGCAAACATGTTGGCATTTATGATTTCTCACAATAACCATGCACGAAAAGAATTATGAAAATTTTAAAATAAGTCAGCAAGTCTGCATCTCTCATCCAAGTTCCCCCTCCCTGATCTGTCTAGTCAAATCTGTCAGTTGGTTGAATTTTACCCTCCCAGCTGCCAGTTTCACTTTCTGTTCATCTGATCCAGTTCACTATCCAATGGCATTGAGGCTATATTGGGTCAAGGTACCAGTTAAATTTCATATCAGGAAAGAGCAATTTAGTCTCTTTGATACTCAAGTCTAAAACCTTCCCATGCAACTCATAACATTAAATAAAAACAACGCACTATGGAAGTTCAAAATCTGAAATTAAAAACAAAAAGCTATAAATATTCAACAGATCAGCCGATATCCATTGCAAGAAACACTTAACATTTGATGACTTTCCAATATAACACCAGACCCATTTGCAAACATACCCCCAGTCATCAAATCCCCTACACAGCCCCTCCGTTCACGTTATGTATCCACTGTGGGTCGTTGCTGTTGTTCTGACAAAACGTCACTGACCTGAAATCTTACTTCTATTTCAGCATCCACACGTGCTTTCTGGCACACCAAATACTTTCAGTGCTTCCTGCTTACAGTCCATGACTTTTTGCACTCTCTGCCAACTCTGGATATACTGCATCAAACACAAAACCTAAATACTGAGAAATATTTGTCCTCATCATTTTCCCAAAAACCGTGTACGGGTGATCTCACATACTAACCACATTGCAGTGAGCACCAAGTGCACAGTAAATTCAGTTCTGCAAGTCCACAACATGGCTTGATTCATTTGCTGCAGTTCTCCCAGCAATGCCTGTGCAATACAAAGCTCACCCCTCACCCCAACATTACATACCTGCTCTGCCAGCAGCTGCTGTCTCTGAAGATATTGCTGCTTCTGCTGCTCCATCAACTGTAGCTGTTCTCGTTGCTTCTGCTGATCCATCAAAATTTGCTGTTTCATGGCGACAGCCTGCTGCTGGCTACCGATGTATGCAGCATTTCCATGGTTACCAGCGATAGAAGCAGGTGGAGGCTGAGTGCCTGGACCTGATGCCTGGACAGAGTTTGATGTCCTGGTGACAGTTCCAGGATTTTGATCCTATTAAAAGTGCATACAATCATTACACAGAATTATACAGAGCTGACAGCAAAGCAAAACATTCAACGATAGGGTCACTGGTGTTCATTTTTCCCCCCTTCCACCTACTTCATCTCATTCTATCATCATACCTTCTCTTCCTTTCTTCCTCAGATTTTAAACATGAAGTTCTACCCATTCTCGCAGACAAAAAATTCTCTCAAATTCTTTATTGGATTTATTTTCCCCATGCTTACCCTACCAAATCTTTTCCTAGTCTTAAATTGACCCATCAGATCATTTAATAGCTCTCTCTCTTTACTGCTGCAAATCAGAGCAGGCACTATCTTTACAGCTCTGTTGTCCTTGGACACAACTTTGTCAAAGAAGCTGAAATAGAAATTCAGAGAAAAACTGATTTATATTGGGGTGGTGGTTATGGAATTCAATTGATCAGCATGTTAAGACACACTGGTATAAAGCTAGAGAGATGGGACAAACTAAACAAAATATTTCTCAGACCACTATATAAATTCAGGGTTCTATCATACAGACAAGGCAAACAAGTGTGGTTAGTTAAGGAAATTCAGTGCAAACGTGGGAGTTGACAGTGGGAAGTTGGAGAAGCAGGGGTAAGAAAGTGTTTGTTCCTTTGACAATGCTACGCTTTAGCCCTCTAGGAATAGCGTTTTACTCTACTACTGGGAAAAGAGGTGAGCGTTTGGTGTGTATCTGGTAAGTGATTAAGGTTTATTCTATTTTTAGGTTTGTGATAAAGTTAATAAAACAAAAAAAAAATGAAGACCTGAATACTGAAATAATTAAAACTCATTAAGGATGAAAAAAAGTGATGTTTCACAGCTGCACTTGGGAACTTCTGGATAAAATTTTGATCCAGAGCAAACATGTCTGCAATAAACGTTTCGTCTGAATAGCTTCGGCTCAGTTTACGAGCTGGAGGCTGAACTACAGATACAGTAACATAACAGTAAAGTGGAAAGTTACCTTGATTCTTCATTTCAGAAGGTAGTTGCAGCATTGAGGATAGGGACTTTCAATTTTTTCAGTGGATGTGGACACAATGGTGTGACTGCAAGTGAAACACATAAAGGGATCCAGAGGGCAGGAATCCCTGCAAATGTCCAATAGATAGTAGGTGCTCTCAACTGGCTTGTATGACAACAGGGGCTGGAGAGTCAATGAGCAAACTGACAATGGTGCAGGAAGCCATTCAAGTGGCGAAAGCAACGAGGAACGTAGTGGTAATAGAGAATAGTATAGTGAGGGGGATTGATATCATTCTCTGCAGCCAAGACTCAGAAGGCTGTGTTGCCTGACAGTGCTGGGTTGAGAGCTGCAGTAGAAAGGGGGAGGATCCAACTGTCATGGTACAGGTCAATACAATATAAAATAGAACGAAGTAAGAATGAGGAACTAGTTCTACATAGAAAAAGTATGAGGAGTTAGACATTAAATAAAAAAGCAGAATCTCAGAGTATTCCCTCTAAGCTGGGTGGCTGCTCCGAGGTTCCACGCATGTCAATTGGTGTACTGATACACTGACTTCTTGCTTCAGAAGTCATTGCCTTGACCTCGAAGGTCTGCATTCCAAAAAAGAAAATTAGGAGTATTGTTCTCAATTATAAAAATATCTGGACAATCCAAACAGCATGCAAACAGCTTATGGTACATAAAATCAGAGATGACATATAGCTCGAAAGATTGGTTTGGGGAAGTGGGTTCCAGTTGCTGGTGCACTGGTACCAGTATTGGGGAAAGTGGGGCTTTATCATTGGAACATTCTATAGGTGAACTGTGCTAGCGCAGTGTTCCAGCAAACTACATAACTAGGAAGTAGAGGGTGCTTAGAACTAGATAATGAGGCAAGGAATTGAATGTGCAAAGATATGGCAAATCAAGGAGTAAAGACAAGGTAAGAAAGGCAAATAGTAAAACGGGAAAATGAGTCAGAGAATGAGAAGAGGAGACTGTGAAGAAAATAGGAATACACCAGTCAAGCCTAGAAGCTACAAAAATAACAAAATGCGAAACTGAACACTATGTATCGGAATGTGGATAACAAAGTAAACATACAACATACAAGATAGCATACAACAAGGTAAATAAATTCAGCAGATCTGGCAGCATCTGTGAAGGGAAAAACAGTTAATGTTTTGGGTCCGGTGACCCTTCCTCAGAACCGTTCCGAGGAAGGGTCACCGGACCCGAAGCGTTAACTCTGTTTTTTCCTTCACAAATGCTGCCAGACCTGCTGAGCTTCTCCAGCACTTTGTTCTTGTTCCTGATTCACAGCAGCCGCAGTTCTTTCGGTTTTTATAAGGTAAATAAATCGATGTGCTGGCCATTACAAACAAATGGCTGCAGGATGACAATGATTTGGTGCTCAAAAAGGGGTACCTGATAGTCAAGAAGAAAATAAAGCTAGGCAAAAGTGAAGGGATAACATTATTGATCAAGGATGTGGCACTTGTACAACAGATAACCTTAATTCAGGAGAACAGGACACAGAATAGCTTTGGGTGAAGATGAGGAAGAGTAGGGGAGATAAGTTACTAATTGGAGTGGGTCTACAGGCCCCTAAACAGTAAGCACAATGTTGGATAAAATACACAAGTAGTGATAAAGGGATGGTAATAAGTATGGGTGACTTTAATCCACATATAAACTGGAAAATCAAACTGGCAGCAGTAACCTGGATAAAGAGCTCAGTACTTTTGAGATATTTGCTTGGAGCAGCATAATCAGGAAATGACAGAGAGACAGGATCACCTTAAACTTGGTAACATGACAGGATTAATGAATGATCTCAGAATAAAAGCACTCCTAGGTGGCAGCAATCACAATGTGATTGCATTTTACATCCAGTTTGAATGGGAGACACTGGATCTAGGACTAGATCTTAAAATTAAATAACAGCAATTATGTGGGCGACTGTGCGGTCATGAAAGGTGAGCTAGAAGTGAATTGGCATACTAAACTGAGATAGATTAGAAGGATTGATATTCAGTGGCAGACATTTAAGGGCATACTTTAGAATACTTGGAATAAATATATTCTTACAGTAAAGAAAAAAATTAAAGGCAGGACATACCAGCTGTCATTAACTACACAAGTCAGGGTAAGCATCAAACTGGAGGAAAAAACATGACTGCATAAAGCTGACAGGTCAGAATATAAATGACAGCAGAGAATGACTGAAAAATTGATCCGGACAGGAGAGAAAGCCAGCTACAAATATAAAAATGGATAGCAAGAGTTTCTGCAGGTACTTAAAAAGGAAATTACAATAAAAGTGAATGTTAAGACCATAAGACATAGGAGCAGAAATTAGGCCATTCGGCCCACTGAGTCTGCTCCGTCATTCAATCATGGCTGATAAGTTAGTCAGCCCCATCCTCCCACTTTCTCCCCGTAACCCTTGATAATCAAGAACCCATCTATCTCAGTCTTAAATGTACTCAATGACCTGGCCTCCACAGCCTTCTGTGGCAGTGAATTCCATAGATTCACCACTCTCTGGCTGAAGAAGTTTCTCCTTATCTCCATTCTAAAAAGGTCTTCCCTTTACTCTAAGGCTGTGCTCTCAGGTCCTAGTCTCCCTACCAATGGAAGCATCTTCCCAACACCCACTCCGTCACCCATTCAGTATTCTGAAAGTTTCAATTAGATCCCCCCTCATCCTTCGAAACTCCAATGAGTATAGTCCCAGAGTCCTCGAACGTTCCTCATATGTTAAGCTTCCCATTCCTGGGACCATTCCCGTGAACCTCCTCTGAACCCACTCCAGGGCCAGTACATCCTTCCTGAGGTATGGGGCCCAAAACTGCACACAACGCTCCAAATGTGGCCTGACCAGAGCCTTATAAAGCCTCAGTAGCCTGCTTTTATATTCAAGTCCTCCCAAAATAAATGTCAACATTGCATTTGCCTTCCTGACTACTGACTCAACCTGCAAGTTTACCTTGAGAGAATCCTGGACGAGAACTCTTTGCACTTCAGACTTCTGAATTTTCTCCCCATTTAGAAAATAGTCCATGCTTTTATTCTCCTTACCAAAGTGCATGATCTCACACTTTCCCACGTTGTACTCCATCTGCCACTTCTTTGCCCACTCTCCTAACCTGTCCAAATCCTTCTGCAGCCTTCCCACCTCGTCAATACTACCTGTCCCTCCACCTATCTTTGTATCGTCTGCAAACTTAGCCAGAATACCCACAGTTCCTTCATCTAGATCATTAATGTATAAAGTGAAAAGTTGTGGTCCTTGGTCCTCTAGAGAGGGAGAATGGAGACTTAATAATAGTGAGAGGGAATTGGTGAATGAAATGTTGCTTCTGACATGACAACACAAAAAATTCAACAGTAGCTTTAAATCAGGAGGTGGAAAGGACAGGGGAACTTAGTGAAATGATGATAATAAGCAAACTGATGGCCTACTGACTAGTCTTTGAATTTTTAAAAAAATCTATTCACAGAATGTGGGTGTCAACATTTATTGCCCATTCCTAGCTTCCTTGGAGAAGGTGATGGTAGGCTGCCTTCTTGAACCACTGTAGTCCATCTGGTTATAACCGAATGGCAGTTAAGAGTAAACGGTGGGACTAGAGTCACATGTAAGCAAAAGACTGGGTAAGGACAGCAGTTCTCTTCCTTAAAGGGCATTGATGAACCAGACACACTTTTATGGCAATTGCCTTGGCCATTATTACATTTTTTAATTATAGATTTTTACTGAACTCAAATTCTACCATCTGCCATGATGGGATTTGAACTTCTGTCCCCAGAACAGATTATTAGTCTAATGACAATACCACTAGGCCATCTATTATTATTTAGGCTACTGCCAAAAATAAATGCTTAATTGTGAAGGGTTAACATATTAGCATAGAAAGAAGATTAGCTGGCTGACAGTAAACTGGATATGCATAAATGGCTAAATGGCAAGGGGAGGGGGGAGATAGCAGAATCAGAGGAAGAAGTGTTGAAGTGTGGCAGATAGGATTTCAGTTGTAGTCTTGACGCCAGAATGGTATGCTGATCCTGGCCGCCCGGCAGTCAAGTTTGTAATTAAGGCTGAGATAGACAGATTTTGAGTTAGTCAGGGAATCAGCCATAATAGGCAAAAATATAAGGAGCCTAAAAAGATACAAGATAGATGAGCCAAAAGCAGACAAACGCACACGAATATGACACCATTGCTAGGATACAGACTTGGATGTAAGATAGGCAGAATTGGCATCTCGATCCTGGTTACAGGGTATTCAGACAACAGCTGGTGAGGATGGGAATAGAACAGGAGGAACAAGAGTCTGCAATATTGATCACGGAATCAATTATAGCAGTGAGGTGGGAAGATATATTGGAGCAATCAAAATGGTGCCACGTGGGTAGAAGTGGAAAAAAAAAGATGCAAATATACTTCTGGATGTGCACTAATCAGCCCCCAGTCAAGTGATAGATGATCAAAAACAAATGCAATTTCAGAAAATTTTAACAATAAGGCAGTAGTAGTACTTCAATAGTTAAAATTTCCTAATTGGTATAATTACAGCATGCTAGACAAGGAGGGAAAAAAATCTTACACTGCATCCATGAGAACTTGTTTTTTGTCAGTACATAGAAAGCCCAACAAGAGCAGTGCAGTCCTGGATGTAAAATTTGAAAATCAGCCCAGGCAGATATAAAGTGTATCAGTAGTGGCCACAATTTAGATTTAGGATGCGTATGGAAAAGGATAAGGATGTGCCAGGAATAAAAAAAATTCTACACTGGGGAAAGACCAAAGAAACAATTTGGCACAAGTGATCTGGAAGCAACAACTTACAGGTAAAAATAATAGTGTGGAGCTGGATGAACACAGCAGGCCAAGCAGCAGCAAAGTTGACGTTTTGGGTCAGGACCCTTCTTCAGGAATGGGGAGGGGGAAGGGAGCTCAGAAATAAATAGAG